GTGATTGTCAGGGACTTTGGGATGAGTCCAGGGACCTAGAAAGTGCAGAATGCACAAAGGAGCTGGGAAAGTGTGTGAGCTTGAGCCCAGAGCTGCAAGTTGGGAGTGCCTGTGTGCACAGGGAGGCGACTTCAACCCTCCCAGCTGCCTCTAGGAGTATCAGAGAGGGAGCCCGTCCCTACTGGCCACCACCAATACCACTTAGGCCAGGGCGAACATGCCCACGGGGGTATACTGAACTTGTGACCCCAGTCTCTGCAAGGACCTGGAGTAGCATGGGGGGAGAGACCTCGCGTTCTCCAATGATGGAGGACAAAGGAGGAGAGACGGTCGCGGAACGGTCACAAGGCCTGGGCGCGAGGGTTTGGAAGGCAAAGGTGCGAGAGGCACCAGGTGACCCGCCCTGCGTGATTAGCGGTCGGACAATCTGAACCTGCTAAGAGCTTTCCTGACCACGCTGGCATGAAGGGCGGCTTGGAGGTGACAATGGGGCACGACAGAGCAGAGCAGGTGTGGAGAGGGTGCGTAGTGCCGGGGCAAAACCGTTAAAGGCAGGTGGAGGCACCCTCTCCCCCTCCCCCAGCATGGGGTCTCCCTAGCTCCAGCCCGCGCCTTCCCGCAAGCGATTAAGTCCAAGTCCACGTGCTGGGGGAGTGTCATGGACGGACGTGCGGTGCAACCAATGGCGAGGCGTTGTCGGAGCGCGGGGGCGGCGCGAATCCTCACGAAAGGTAGGAGCCTGCTCTGCCGGGGGTCACTCACCTGAGGCCTGGGCAGAGGTCCGGGTGGAAAGCGGGGTGGCGGCGACCTCCAGGCCTAGTCCGAGGCCGAGCAGCAGCCGCAGCACCAGGCCTAGAGCCCCTGTTCGCTGCGCTCCACCCCGCGCCATCCCACCGCCGGTCGAGCTGTCCCCGCAGCTGCGCCGGCCACGCGCCGTCCAGACCTCGCTCTTATCCCTGCGCACGCGCACGCGCGGGGCGGAGGCGGGGCCCAAGCCCCCGAGTCCCGCTGCGCCCGCGGCTACGAGTACCGTAAATGTCAGAATAGGAGGAAAAAGAGAATTACAGGCCCGTCCCCTACTTTCCCCAGTGACGAGATCAGTCGAAAGGTATGGAGGCCGCTTGAAGTCAGAAACTTCTGGGGATGGAAAGGAATTTGCTGGTGTTCATTTGCATTATTTCCCGTTCCATGTGAGGACTGCTGCAAACGTTACTGCCTCGTGATCCTCTTTAGTATGGCAGCCACGCCCCTCAGGCACTCCCCATTTACTCCCCCATCTCACTGCTTTTGTGGCGCCGACAGTTAATTTATTTTATTTACTTATTCTGGTTTATTGCCCGAGTCCCCATAGAATGCCAGCTACTGGAAGGCAGGGATCTTCTACTGCTCACTGCTTTATTCTCAGGGCCTGACACATAGTGCCTCACTCACAGTAGGCTCTTAGTAATTTGGTGAGTAAATGAATAAATGAAACGTCCATTCTCGGAGTCGGGTTGCTTGGGGGAAAAAAAGGAAAGGAAATCAATTAATTAATTTAATTAAATAATAAAGACCGGGCGCGATGGGTCAGGCGTGTAATCCCAGCACTTTGGGAAGCAGAGGCGGGCATATCGCTTGAGCCCAGGAGTTGGAGATTAGCCTGGGCAACACAGCAAGTCCCCGCTCGCCTCAAGAAAAAAGAAAATTAGCTGGACATGGTGGCTCTAACTTGTAGTCCCAGCTATTCAGGAGGCAGTGAGCTGAGACCACATCATTGAACTCCAGCCTTAGTGACACAGACTTCATCTCAAAAAAAAAAAAAGTCGTGTTCATAAAACTTGGTTCAGATGCCGTTAGTGGCACGCCTTGCCTAGGGTCTTGCCCTCCTTGTGGCCTCTGCACACCCTGCCTGGTCTTTCTCTCCCTCCTGACCTTTCTGAATCTGATTCATCCTTTTGCCCCAAGCAGAATCCCTCCTCCTCCAGGAAGCCTTGGGCTGTTAGCCTTTGTAGGACCCACTCTGGGACACTTGTACCTGCTGCCTGCAGCCGTGGCCTTTCCCCTTCCAGAGGGCAGGGCCGGCTCAGCACCCTCTCGATCCACAGCTGATCTTTTCTAGCTGCTGAAGGGTCGGGGCTGTGCCCTGGGGAACCCATGACGCTCCCCTGCTTAGGGTCACTGGGTGGCTCCTGCGGCCAGACTTGGCCACCCTCCCTTTGCAGATTTCTGTCTCCTCCCCAGGAACCAGCTGCCTTCCTTCTGGGGCGAACTCATTCTCATCCCACAGTCCCAGCGTAATGGTTTCTGGCTCAGGGAGGCCTTTCCTGATCTGCCCTAGGTTTGCTGTGAGCAGCCCTCACTGTCCTTTGCCTTCCCCGCTGAGTTGCAGGGTGACCAAGGTCAAGCAGCAGCCTCAGTGGAAGGTGCTGAGGAAGGTTCATGTGAGAAGTGGCTGGGGGAGCCCTCAAGAGATGGAAGTTAGGCCAGGCGCGGTGGTTCATGCCTGTAATCCCAACACTTTGGGAGGCAGAGGCGGGCAGATCACTTGAGGTCAGGAGTTTGAGACCAGCCTGGCCAACATGGCGAAGCCCTGTCTCTACTAAAAATACAAAAATTAGCTGGGCATGGTTGCACACACCCGAAGTCCCAGCTACTTGGGAGGCTAAAGCAAGAGAATCACTTGAACCCAGGAGATGGAGGTTGCAGTGAGCCAAGATCACGCCACTGCACTCAACCTGGGTGACAGAGCAAGACTCTGTCTCAAACAGAAATTTTAAAAAGAGATGGAAGGCCAGGCGCGGTGGTTCACACCTGTAATCTCAGCACTTTGGAAGGCCGAGGCAGGTGGATCACCTGAGGTCAGGAGTTCAAGACCAGCCTGGCCAACATGGTGAAACCCCGTCTCTACTAAAAATACAAAAGATTAGCTGGGCTTGGTAGCAGGCGCCTGTAATCCCAGCTACTTGGGAGGCTGAGGCAGAAGAATCACTTGAACCCAGGAGACGGAGGTTACAGTGAGCCGTGATCGTGCCATTGCACTCCAGCCTGGACAACAAGAGCGAAACTCCGTCTCAAAAAAAAAAAAAAAAAAAAGATGAAAGTGAGAAGTCTGTGGCTGGACTACTGAGCACCCACACATACACACCTTACCCCACCCGACTGGTCTTCACGATCAATGCTCCTCAACAGCCAGTGCTCCTGGAGTCCAACCTCCCACAAGGATCACCCATCCCCACCACTCTCAAGGTCAGAGCCTGGCCTTTGGGGGAAAGGGCAGTTCTGTCTCCAGGGTCTCTGCACCCAGAGACAGTGTCTCCCACCCCTGGAGTGCCAACAGAGTTGGGAGACTCGGCACTGACTTCACCCCAAAATCCAAGTTAGCTGGGTATTGCTTAAAATCAGAGGCCCGGTGTGGTGGCTCACACCTGTAATCCCAGCACTTTGAGAGGTGAAGGCGGGTGGATCACCTGAGGTCAGGAATTTGAGACCAGCCTGGCCATCTCTACAAAAAAAAAAAAAAAATTAGCCAGTTATGGTGGTGCACACCTGTAGTCCCAGCTACTCGGGAGGATGAGGCAGGAGAATTGCTTGAGCCCAGGAGGCAGAGGTTGCAGTGACCCGAGATCACACCATTGCACTCCAGCCTGGGCGACAAGCACAAAACTCTGGCTCCTGCAGCCAGATTTCCATCTCCTCCCTAGGAACCAGCTGCCTTCCTTCTGGAGCGAACTCATTCCCATCCCACAGCCCCAGCACAATGGTTTCGGGCTCAAGGAGGCCTTTCCTGATCTGCCCTAGGTCTGCCTTCCTGTGAGCAGCCCTCACCGTCCTTTGCCTTCCCCGCTGAGCTGCAGGGTGACCAAGGTCAAGTAGGGGCCTCAGCAGGAAGGTCTAAAAAATAAAAATAAAATCAGGGCCGGGCGCCGTGGCTCATGCCAGTAATCCCAGCACTTTGGGAGGTCAAGGCAGGAGGATCGCTTGATGCCAGGAGTTCAAGCTCAGCCTAGGAAACACGGTGAGACTCTGTCTCTATTTTTTTATTTTTTAAAGTAAAACTAGAAGTGATACCCGTGCTCTATGTATTTGTCATAAATTAGGTCACATTCTCCCTGGAGGGAAACCAAGGAGGCAAAGTAGTCAGGTGGCCCTGAGGGCGCGGTGTCACAGGTAAGGCTGGTCCGAGGACAGCTCCCACCTCTTCATGGGAGGAGCTGGAGTCACCGCCTTCTTCTCAGTGGCTGGTACAGCAGAGCTGGAGGAGGGAAAGACTTCAGTAAGGGTTTCCAAAGAACAGTGTGGAAAGATCTGAGGGCGCCCACACCTGCCCCAGTACAAACACACCCACAGGGACTTTCTGGACCTGCAGGGCGGACAGCAGGACAGACTGCAAGACAGACAGCAGGCCAGACAGCAGGGGGTTCCAGAATGCCAGCCCCTCCAACGCGGCCCCTCAGAGGGTCAGCCGACGCCAGGTGGGAGCTGGCAAGCTCCCTCTCTCCCTCGAGCCCTGGGTGAACCCCCTGCCGTGGCCCCCAGGCCCAGAACCCACTGTGGAGAGCTGGGCTCCTCCCTTCCCACTTCTGGTCTCCAATGTATACAAGGCCCCCACCCCCATTCCTGCTGCCCCTCAAAACAGGTTGCTGGCAAAAGGGCCAAGCAATCAAGTGACACTGGCCTCAGGGACTGGGCAAGAACTGCATGGCAGGTGCAACGGTGTGGGCGCAGAGCCAGGAAGATGAGGCACCGCCCTCAGGAAGACTCAGGCTGGTGGGGCTGAGGATTCATACACAAATGGCAACTGCAAAACGCATCTCTGGCCCAGAGCTGGCCAAAAGGGAGCCCCCAGGAGACCCTGTGCTGACAAGTCCAAGACCAGCACCCTCCCCTCTCACCCCGGCCACCTGAGCCTGTGGGGCCTAGGGCTGGAGAGACTCACCTCACAGCCTAAGCAAGAAACGAAGCAGGAGATGGAGGAGGTGCCCCAGGGGTGGAGGCACAGGACCCCCCAGGAGCCTCAAGGAAGTGGAAGAGGCGGAAGTGGCCTCCCTGGGAAATGCAGACATCTCTGGGGGTATGGCAAGGGGCTGCGTGGGAACAAGGTAGTTTGCCACACTCTGCTGCTGGACTCCAGTGAATCAGAAGGTGACAACAAGGACCACTCCACTGACTATTCAGAATTCTTGCTTTTTGAGACACGGTCTTGCTCTATCGCCCAGGCTGGTATGCAGTGGCGCAATCTCAGTTCACTGCAACCTCCGCCTCCCAAGCTTGAGTGATTCTCTTGCTTCAGCCTCCCAAGTAGCTGGGATTACAGGTGTGCACCATCACTCCCGGCTAATTTTTGTATTTTCTTTCTTGTTTATTATTTATGAGACAGGGTCTCACTTTGTCACCCAGGCTGGAGTGCACTGGTGCGATCTCAGCTTAATGAAGCTTCCTTGACCTCGCAGGTTCAAGAGATCCTTCTGCCTCAGCCCTTCAAGTAGCTGGGACAACGGGCACACGCCACCACACCCGGCTAATTTTTGTATTTTTTTGTAGAGATGGGGTTTCACCATGCTGCTCAGGCTGGTCTTGAACTTCTGGGCTCAAACAATACACCCACCTCGGCCTCCCAAAGTGCTGGGGTTACAGGCAAGAGCCACAGCGCCCCTAACTTTTGTATTTCAGTAGAAGCAGGGTTTCGCCACGTTGGCCAGGCTGGTCTTGATCTCCTGACCCCTAGTGTTCTGCTCACCTCGGCCTCCCAAAGTGCTGGGATTATAGGCGTGAGCTACCATACCCAGCCTAAAAATTTTTTAATGAGACAGGGTCTCGCTGTGTTACTCAAACAGGTCTAGAACTCAAGCAATCCTCACACCTCAGCTTCCCGAATCACTGGGATTACAGGCACACACCACCGCGCCTGGCCTATTCACAGAGTTCTAAGTACCGAGCAGGCCCTGCCTGGCCTCATCACCTCTCAGATCTCAGCACACTGCAAGTCTAGCATCCCTGTTTTACACAGGAAGAAACCAAGGCTCAAGAAGGCGGAGACTGCCCACACCGTGAGTCGTCTGTAGAACCCAGACCCTAGTGGGAGTCCAGGCAAACTGGTTTGAAATCCTGCTTCTGCTGCCAGGCGCGGTGGCTCACACCTGTAATCCCAGCACTTTGGGAGGCTGAGGCGGGCGGATCACGAGGTCAGGAGATCGATTCCATGGTAAAACCCCATCTCTACTAAAAATAAAAAATTAGCCAGATGCGGCAGAGGGTGCCTGTATCCCAGCTACTCGGGAGGCTGAGGCAGGAGAATGGCGTGAACCCAGCTGGCGGAGCTTGCAGTGAGCTGAGATCGTGCCACTGCACTCCAGCCTCGGCGACAGCACGAGACTCTGTCTCAAAAAAAAAAAAAAAGAAATCCTGCTTCTGCTTACCGCTGCCTGTGTGACCCAGGCCAGTCACTTGGTTTCTGTGAGCCTCGATTTCCTCTTCTGCAAGACGGGCCATCACCACCTAACTGGTGGAGTTATTAGGAGGTAGGCAGGACACTGACTCTGTGCCAGGCTCCCTTCTAAGAGTTTACAAATATTAATTATGAGGACTAACCCTCATAACAGCTTTCTGAAGTAGATACTATTAGAGTCCCCATTTAATTAAGAGAAGGCACCTGAAACCAGGGACCAAACTAGTTTTGGAGAGGAATCCAAGGTTTATACAACTCCCTCTCTGAGAATAATACATGGCCAGGCGCGGTGGCTAACGCCTGTAATTCCAGCACTTTGGGAGGCCAAGACCAGGAGATCACATGAGGTCAGGAGTTCAAGACCAGCTGACCAACATGGTGAAACCCCAACTCTACTAAAAATACAAAATTAGCTTGGCATGGTGGCACACGCCTGTAATCCCAGCTACTTGGGAGGCTGAGGCAGGAGAATTGCTTGATCCTAGGAGGTGGAGGTTGCAGCGAGCCAAAATCGCACCACCACATTCCAGCCTGTGCAACAAGAGTGTGACACTGTTTCAAAATAAATAAGTAAAATAAGAATTCATAGTTACATAAACAGTAATGTCTCAGCTTTTCACAGGGCCCTTGGAGGGACCCCGGAACTTCATGTTTTGTAGGATGCCCAGTCCTGGCTGAGGTGCTAACTTCTACCCTCCACTGGGTTGGACTAAATGAGCTCTTCCTGAGCATGGTGACTCTCACCTGTAGTCCCAGCTACTCGGGAGGCCAAGGCAGGAGGATCACTTGAGCCCAGGAGTTTGAGAACAGCCTGGGCAACAGAGCACGACCCCATCTCTACAAAACATTTAAAAATTAACCCAGCATGAAGGCCAGGTACAGTGGCTCACACTTGTAATTCCAGTACTTTGGGAGGCCGAGGCAGGCGGATCACGAGGTCAGGAGATCGAGACCATCCTGGCTAACATGGTGAAATCCCATCTCTACTAAAAATACAAAAACTTAGCCAGGCGTGGTGGTGGGCAACTGTAGTCCCAGCTACATGAGAGGCTGAGGCAGGAGAATGGCGTCAACCTGGGAGGCAGAGCTTGCAGTGAG